AAAAAAAGGGGGGGGGGGTTGAGTTTGAGAGTAAGGAGACTACAAAATTGCAGTCTTTGTGTGTAGCAGGGCAGCCAAGTTTTAAAGAGATGGCGGCCATGACAGAGCCCGGTCTAGGATATATGTATTATGATTCAAGTCTTTGGGGAAAAAAGAAATCTCTGTCGCAAAGACGTTTATTTATATTTAAACTATGCCACCAATTATCGGTCAGACCATGAGAGACGTTGTCACGTTATTTTTAGAAAGTAGAAATGTAAAGTAAGCGCACATAGTTTTTAAGGCCAGTAGTAAAATCAAAGAACTGAGTCTTTTGTCCATACAAGAAGTGCTGCGACTTCGGAAAGAACAATAGAGTTTATGTCAGATTCAAAATCTCAAAGTCCAGCATAAAGCGAGTCAAACGTAATTTTAAAAACTTAAAATACGGCTTGGAGGAAAGTAGTAACGGTAGACTTATCAGTCGTCGTAGCAGAAATAAGAGTATCGGTTACAGTACGAGTATAATCATCATCATCATCATCATCATGGTGATCATCTTCGTTTTGTTATTATTATTATTATTATTGTTACTATTATTATTATTATCATTATCATTATCATTATCATTATTATTATTATTATTGTTGTTGTTGTTGTTGTTGTTATCAATTATCAAAGATTTTGAAAATGAAACGGAAACAACAGAAACGTATTTTCTCACTAGGCGGTTGATAATTTCATGGCAGGAAAAGAAATCAAATCAGATAAAAACCTTTAGGAACAGTCAAATGCAGTTTCCGGGACACTTGAAGCTATACAAAAGCTTCAAACATAAATTTTTGCTTTCACTGGAAAAATGAAAGGTAAACGAGGCAGAGTTAGACCCGAAGCAAAATACTTAGATCTAGATGATAGAAGACGGGCTAATACTAGTCTGCTGTACGGATTTTTATTTTTCCTAACATCATTTAAACAAAGAAATGGATAGCGAACCATGGCGCCGAGGTCTGATTTTTAATTATTTATTGAATGATTTATTTATTTATTTATTTATTTATTTATTTATTTATTTATTTATTTATTTATTTATTTTTCTAACGTACTTGCAATTCTCTGGGAGGTATTAAGACTGCAGCGTTGTACTCAGTACTAATTCATCTTTTAAAAAATAATATGCATAATCTTAGTGTTGAAAATGGTGTGGAACTCTTACCGTACCCTACCATACCTTACCGTACCCTACCATACCTTACCGTACCCTACCATACCTTACCGTACCCTACCATACCTTACCGTACCCTACCATACCTTACTGTACCCTACCATACCTTACCGTACCCTACCGTACGTACCATAATGTACTGTAGCATATCTCTCGTGCCCTTTTTAACTCCCAGTGGAGCATTGGCCAAAAACAACATTGCTCCTGCGAAGCCTGTCTTGTGCATCCTTTTCTTGATGTCCCCACCTTTCCCATGTCCGCTTGTACCGCTCGCCTCCATGTCATCTTTGGTCTTCCTTTCTTACGTTTTCCTTGTGGATTCCATACCAAAGCCTGTCTGATGATGCTTGTCAGGGGTCTCCTTAGGGTGTGTCCGATCCATTCCATTTCTTCACCTGCATGTCTTCCCTTTACTGGCCTTTGGCTTGTTCTTTCCTACAGTTGAGCATTACTGTATACTTAATGTATATTATTATAGTATCATACTATATCATATCATTTGACTTACGAAGATAATGAGGAGCAATCAGAGAGTAACTGATATATATGGGGGGATTGGGGGG